CTTTCTCTCTCTACATGTTTACGAAGTATGGCATACTTTGCGTCAGACACTGCAAAGTCAGTGTTATCGGGTAATTAATATTAATAATTATCATTATATTATTAATTGTATTATATTACTACTTAAGCCCGTCGGTAATGACTCCTAAATTGTGACAATTTGACGAGATCCCAACTTCATTGCGTCTACGCCGTTTTGCAGCTAACTGTACTTCTTTTCCTCGCGATTACTCAACTCGTACGTTTTAGCTCGCGGACTGTGCCGACGGTATACGGAAGCGCGCAATTTTTGGTCGAAACTGAACTTTCTCCCGCGCGATTAACTCGCCCGACTCTTTCGTTCTCGCTCTGCCCTCCTCCTGTCGTCGTCTTCATCCCTGCGCGCGGACGCGCTCTTAACCGGACGTGAATTCACGTGCAAGGCGTGCGATACATCGCGGACCGGTGTAATAGGCGGCGAGGAGCAGCCGGTCTTGTAGCGCGACGATAAGGATCGCTCTGGGACGTAATCCGACATGTCGCACGTCGACGTTATCTACGACAGGAACTGCATTCGCTCGTAAGACTGTTTGCCCGGGTCGGCACTACGACAAAGGGACCACGAGTGATTAGTCGCGTCTAAGCAAACAACGCGGATACGTGCCAGATCGTTTCCGCGGACACCGCCGCCGTCGCGACGACGTGCGAAGTTACCGAAAGCGGAAGAATTTCTGCCGGCACGCGCTGACGAAACGCACGAAAAAAGAAAAAAACACGCGGATGGAACCGAAGGAGCGACCGTCTCCTCGCGAAGCGACGAATTTTTCCGCGGAGCTGTCACCCTCATCGAAGAACGGCGTCCCAGACGCGTCTGCTTCGCTGACAAACGGCGTGCTGGAAATGGGACACGACTATAAAAGAAGGTGAATAAAGTAAGAACGAAGGCGCGTCGCAGAGAAAAGTTGTTAGAACGACATAAGTCGGCGGGAGGGTCAAAGGGATTAACCCTTTATTTGGTGATGTTGCTCTCGAGCAACATCCATTTCTCACGAGCAAGAACGACAGATGCAGGACGCATTTATTTAGCACTGTCCTGTCCGTCGATGTCTCAGTAGTTTCGACTTTTGTCACTAGATGAGAAAAGTTGCTGAAAATACGTTTATAAAATAATATTTTGAAAGCGATATAACTACATTCGAGAGACATCACTAATTTAAGCCTAATCTAAAATGCGCTCTTTGCCTCCTGTTTCTTGCTCTCTGTCTTTCTCCGGCTCAAGATTTAAGCCCAGCTTCATCTCCTAGAAGGAGATGAAGAGAAAGAAACAGGAAGCGAAGAACACAATGTAGATCAAGCTTTGAACGCGGAAAAATGTGTTTCCTTAAATGTTTTGGGCACGCCAAAGAAAGGGTCGAAGAAACCTGGCTTGCTGAGGCGCGCGTTTCGTGCGGGGGTATTTACGACACTAATGATCCGGACGACCGCGCGGCGTGTCACGCGCCTCTCCCGGCGGACGGCATTGTCGTGGCTTTTTCAGCATGCCCCCTGTGTTACGTGCGGCAAACGAGTGGCCTACGTGCAAAGGCTAAACCTTTTTCAGAGCCCGCCGACCGTCCCCGATGTCAACGAACCTCGGCCTCGCGAAGGTCCGCTCCCGTCGTCCAGTTGTCGCTCGCTCGCGTGCGTACGTGCGTGCGTGCGTGCGTGGTCTCTCGTGATCTGTGCGCGATGTATGCACGATTTACTTACGCGAGTACGAGTGAGCCTGTATGAAGTTAACCACCCACTTTTCGAATTTATTAATTTTGACAGTTGTGCTGATTTGTGCTAGGTTTGTGTTACATTGTGCTCTAATTATAAATTTTTAATACGAAAAATGGAAAATACCGTTTTTTTTTTGGTAGCCCCCCACTTTTTGATTTTCGAAATTTTTTTTATTGTGCTAGGTTGTGCTAAGTTGTGCTAACATTGTGCTAAAGTATTATCTTGGAAAATTAATCATGAAAGAAATAAAACGAAAAAAACGATTTTAAACAGAAAAGAAGAAAAATAAGATTTATATTCGTATAAGCCAATCAAACGATATATAATTATATATCTGAGTTGCTCTAGGCTAGCACAAGTCAGCACAAGCTTCAGTTTCGCCAGCACAAGAATCGAAAGGGCACTTTACTCTTGATCGCGGCCCTTCGCGCTCGCAATCTATGTCATTAATCACGACTTCTAGACTTTGGATCGACTCAGAATTGCATATCTGAGTTGTGCTAGCCTAGTACAAGTCAGCACAAGCTTTAGTTTCGCCAGCACAAAAATATTAAAGGTATTTTATTCTTGATTTTCGCAACCTTTCGCACGCGCAATTCTGAGTCGATCCAGAGTCTAGAAGTCGTGATTAATGACATAGGCTGCGAGCGCGAAGGACCGCGGTCAAGAGTAAAGTGCTCTTTAGATTCTTGTGCTGGCGAAACTGAAACTTGTGCTGACTTGTGCTAGGCTAGCACAACTCAGATATGCAATTCTGAGTCGATCCAAAGTCTAGAAGTCGTGATTAATGACATAGACTGCGAGCGCGAAGGGCCGCGTCAAGAGTAAAGTGCCCTTTAGATTATTGTGCTGACTTGTGCTAGCCTAGAGCAACTCAGATATATAATTATATATCGTT